CTGTGACCTGTTTGTTTTTCATAGAAATTGATGTTTGTAAAATCATCTCGTTGTTTCTCTCTCTGCAGTCTTTGCTTGATGAGCCAAACCCCAACAGCCCAGCCAATAGTCAGGCGGCACAGCTCTACCAGGAAAATAAGAGGGAGTACGAAAAAAGGGTAACAGCCATTGTGGAGCAGAGCTGGGTAGACGTCTGAGCATTTTTCCCCCTATACCCTTTATCTTCACACACACCCCTCTTCATCATCCCTCTTATTCAGTCTCTCATCAATAAATAACAGTAACCATATCAAAACTCAAGTGCCACCCTGATTTAAAAAAAAAAGAAGAAAAACACCAAATCTGAACAGACATTAACTTGCTTACCAATACATTATAGGAAATGTGGGATGGTGGGGTTGATCTTATGTTATGTTTTTTGATTTTATTTTTTTATTGCATGGTGTGGAATAAGTTATTGCTAACAAATTTGTAATATATCTTTGGTTGGACTAAAGCGGTTAATGCCCAAGATTTGAAAAACATTTTTTTTTTGTTTTTCTGATGATGTGCTGGTTTGAAAAAGGACATGCTAAATGACCAAATCGGCATATTTTTAAAAAGCTGTGGAAACGAACAAAAAAAACACGGAAATGCCTTTTTAGAGTCCATAGCATCAGTTTTCCTCCGTCCATCTGCAAATGCGGCTGAGGAGGAACAGGTTGTCTGCTCCTGCAGATTTCTGCTTCTTTTTGTTTTTAAAGAATGATTAAGTTGGGATTCAACAAGGGTTACAGGACAACAAGAGCACAGATGAATCACGGCTGGCCATGATGGAGGTTTATTATTAGAGGGAATAATGTTTGTGTTTTGTTCTAAAATGGAGAGCCCCTTATTTTCCCTCCTATGTTCTTGTTGGCACGAAAGGTATGCAGGCATGTTTATTAAAAGCAAGAATGACAGGATTGGAGAAAATATGGTGTTAGGGAGGGAGTTTAAGGCTTCCATATCATGTCTGCTGATCCTCTGTTATTCACACGTTTTTCTTCATAGAAGAAAATCGGAGAAGGGAGTAAAGGAGCTTTTTCTTATTTCTTAATGTATAATTTCCCTCCACATAAAAAATACTTTCTGTTCATTTAAGGCCAGGGGCTTAAGTGTCCATAGCTTGGATGGTTCTATTAAAACCAAGCTGCATATATATTAAAAATAAGGTCAAGAGAAACAGAGATTTAATCATTTGATTTGGAATTTTTACAAAACAAGCTATTATATTGAAAATTTAAGCATTTTTACAGTAACTTTGTCTGCAATGTTTTTTTTTTTGTTTTTTTTTTTGTTTTTTGATGGCGTTTCCTCTAAACATCATTACTACATGACTTGCCCTACCTAGTAGCATCTGCTCAATAATCATTCAAGTCCCCCTTTCTTAAACGAAGATGGTCATATTGTGGCTTGTGACTTATTTCACCTAGTAAACAGAGTATGCTATAAAATTTTGAGAAACAAATGTATACTTAAAATAATATGCTGTATAAAACATAATAAAACACATTTTTCAGACTTTGACGAAAGCTTCTCTTTGTGTTTTTTCTCTTTTGCATATGATCCCCTAATTAAAATTGACTTAGAAAAAGTTATGCATTCCGGAGCTGCATAAAGTTCTCAAACACCTTAAAACTGAAAAGTTATTGGGTTAGAGTCAGAAAATTGTTCACTATAATTGGGGAAAGTAAAGTAGTATTTTTTTTTTTTTTGTATCAAAAGAGGCAAAACAAGCAATGTTTTGTTTTCAATCCCTTTACTTGGATAAAAATAATAATTCTTTAAATGACAAAATTATTCCTGAAACAAAATATATGATCTAAACCCAAAGTCAAGCATATTCAAAGCATTATTCCGTGATAAATGTTTACATTCTAGTAATAATAATTTACTTTCTCAAACACATTTTAAATAATTCCTCTTTTCGTTTTTTTTTTTGTTTTTTTTACTTTTCATTTTAACGTTTTAATCTGAATATTCAAACAATTTGTGGCTCCCCAGCTCCTTCTCTTTGGAACAAACTTTCCTGCAGTGTATTCACCCAGGCAACCTCATAGTGCTCATTGCTGCACAGTGAGTGAACATCTCCAAACTGATCCCTTAATTAGCTTCACCTGGAGTCTATCTCCAGGTTGGGAGACACTCCCCTATTCTCAGTTAGAGGAAGGCGGGGAATGAATTCAGCTCAACAGTGGGACAATAAAGGGATTGACATTACATATATAGTACATACCTATACATTATATACACAGTAGGCTGTATTATAAGGAGGAGGTCTGGAGATGATACGTTTGTGTAGCTCCTAGGTCCTGAATGAGTGAGGGAGAGAAGCAGTGTCATGAGGCATGATCTTTGGTCCTGATGGACTGCAGCCTCCTGCCAGAGCAAAGTGTCTGAAATGGTTTGGCTGGGGTGCAAAGGATCAGCCATGATCTTCCCTGTACGCCTCAAAGTCCTTGAGGCGTACAGATCCTCGAGAGATTGAAGGTTGCAGCCAATCACCTTCTCTGAAGAACGGATGACACGCCGCAGTCTGTCCTTGTCCTTGCCAGTGGCACCAGCTTACCAGATCAAGAGGTAAGAATGGAGGAGTAGAAGTGCACCAGAGTAATATGTAACCTTTCTAGAGAAATATAAAATGAATGTTTCTGTTTTTAAAGAAGTTCATTATTGCCACCAACCAGACCATTAAAAAGCAGTTTGTCTTTCGTTTATATGCCTATTCCAAATCAATGAATCCTTTAATGATAAATTGGTCCAATAATGAAACAAAGTAGTCTTGATTTAAAAGAAAAATGTCTATAAACATCCACAAAATTATTTAAATACTGTAATGATGTACTTAGTTACTAGGCACTGATGTATTGACATGTCTTATGGAGTTGAAATTTAGATCTAAAATTTGCTGTTCAATAGGTAAAGATCACATTCTTAGGAAGTAAAAATCGGCTCATAAATCTGGCATCAGGTGATTTTTCTGAGGCATATACATGGGTTTGACCCCATGAAAATGAGAAAGCGTTGTGTCTGTATAGATTCAGCTGTAAAATGGATCCAAAGCTCTGAAAGATTGGGGGGGGGGGGGCATTGGGTGCTTTAAGCAGCACATTAAAAGCAGCTCCACCACAATCTATAGTCATTTTACTTTAATTGACTCGTAGACCCTCAAGATGTTAAACTGGAGGAGATCTAACAGCAGGAATCTCTCTTCAATGAGTCCTCATCTTTACAGCAGGACAAAGCCTCCCTTTACGTCTTAAAGGGCTGCTTCCAGGAGAATAACAATAACAATGTTCTCTTTTCTAAAAGAGATTTGAAATATTTGGTAAGGGAGGTTAAAAACCTTGGATGAACTTCATTAATCCACCTCCAACAAGTGGAGCAATGCTCCTTCCAATCTCCCAAAAAACACCAAGCATGTGCTACTTAATATTATCCATGGCCCTTTTCAACATTTTCTTTTTCAGAACTGATTATCTTGTTTGAGTTTAAAAAAACTTTCAAGTCTTTGGGGGACTTTTCTTTTGTCTCATGTTAAAGTTCAACGCCAAACTGAGTATTGGTGATGTGATTTTTGTTTTTTGGTGAGGGAGCCATGTTGGGCAGAATTGACATTTAAAGGAGATTTCCAGTGTGTATGCAGCATTTATTTAATTACAAGGATTAGGCAGGTTTGACCTAAATTAAAGCCTGATTTTACTCCTTGGTGTGCATGTATAGTTCTTTTTGGTGAATACAGCAGAAAATCCACATATGAATTTTCATTACTTCTACCAATCTACCCCAATCCTCTGGAATGAGGTAGATTGATGGTAAATTGGGAACACAATAAAAAAAAAGTTTGCTCTATTTTAATGGGAAAACATTGCACTCTGCTATGCAAGCTGCCTTTTTAACTCAGATCTTCCTGCTTTAGTTCCTTCTGTGAACCATTTCCAACCCTGTAGTTTAAGTAATCCAGTTATCATAGATTTTAAAGAAAAAATAATCTAAGCTAATTTTAGTTAAGGATTCTAAACTAAGCATTTCCAAATTATAATTTTGTCCCAGGCTAAATAATGTTTGCTTTTTTTATTGCGATGTGCTTGACTAATTTTTTGAACATTCAGGACATTTTAATTTGCTTTATAAACTAGAATCTTTTTCATTTGTTCAATCTTTGTTTTTTTTTTCAACTTTAAAGTTGTCATTTAAAGTGAAAGAGTGTTTGGTCTGTTTCTGCTCTCTGCATTTCATTTGAGCTCAGTTCAGCTTTTTACAGACATAAGATGAAGCAGAAAGCAGCTGAAAAACCAGGGGTGTGTAGATTACCCCAAATTTTACTAAAGTAAGAGTAGCACTAAATTTTTTGTATTATTTTATTCAAAAGTAAAAAAATATTTGGTAAAAAGTAGTGTTGTGCCGATGCCCTTTTTTGGCCCCAATACCGATACCTGGCTGTGCAGTATTGGCTGATACCGATACCATCTGTTTGAAATTGATGTGTGTGTGTGATGAGTCCATTAACACCGATGTGTCGGTGCATGCATGGAGCCCATAGAGCAAAACTGTATCAGTGAGCGTGTCGTTTCAAGAAAGTCATGTGACCGATACAGAAGTAGTTTCTTACAGACTGACTCACTAAGCTGTGTTTAAAAACGTATCTGTCAATATGATTCATCTGCTTAAAAAAATGTATAATCTTTTGCGGTGAATCATTAAAATTATCAATACTTTTATAACAGCCTAAAAGAAATAGGAACATTTTAGGCTTTGCATTTTTATTTTCTCGTTGTGTTATTCTTTTTTGTGTTATACAATGTGACTAACGGACATAGTAAATTACTATTTTTTACTAGGTTTTAAAGCATACACATGGCATTTAGTTTGAATTAATAGACTGAGGTGAGTGTCACCTTTGCAATTTTCTTAATTCCTAAAATTGGATAGTTTACCAATATTTTATTATTTAAAAACCAGGGAACTCAGACAACAGCGTTTGAAAAAAAGTTATTTTAATCTTCTAGAAAACACATTAAAAAACAGGTTAAAACATGCCGGGATTGCTAAAAATGTACAAATGCATTCATAAAATGTGACTGCACTCAAACTGAAAAATCACAGGTAAAAATCAAGAATGCGATGAGATGCTCCCACAAAAAAAAAAAAAAAAAGGTTTGTTAATCAGTTCAATTAAAAGGATCAATTTCTCTAAAATCCTTAAAATGCTGGTCAATGTTGAGCACATCCTGGGCGTCTGCTCCAGTCATCGGCCCTGTGGCAGAGCAGGAGAATTCAGTTAGGACTTTCTCTTACATCTTATTGTTTTCTGATGGTGTTTTTTTTTTTTTTACAGAATACCTGCTGGTTTTTAATAATTTCATCCCTGGTCTTGAAAACTGGTGCGTCCTTTACAACGATGCCCTCGGCCATTTCCTTCACTTTATCCAGAAGCTCTGTGCTGTAGCTGAAAGTAAAAAGATGGATTCAGTCACTATAAACTTAAAGTTTGCTTTTATAACAGATTTACACAAGTTCAATACAGCATAAGAAATGGAAGAATACAAGAAAGAAAAGAAGAGAAAGGGGAATGATTAAAGGAAGGAATGGATGAAATAAAATATATATAGGAATAAAGGGAGGTAACAATTAAAGAAAATAATAAATTGTAGAATAAATGTGATAATTTATGTAAAAATAAATGGAAAGTTAGGGTAGAAAGAAATACAAGGAAGGAAAGAAGAAAAAGGTTAATGAAAGAATGATGAAAGGATGAAAGAATTGAAAAAAAAGAATAAAAAAGTTGTAACAATGAAAGAAAATAATAAATTGTACAATAAATTGGATAATTTATGTAAGGACAAAACTAATGGGAAAGTAAGGGTAGAAGGAAATAAGGCAAGGAAACAAAGGAGAATGGAAGACAGGAAGGAAGAAAATAATAAAGGATGCCAAAAATAAAGAAAGAAGGAAATAAGAGGGAAAGGACATAACATGGAACTTAACTCTTAAACATGAATTAATAAATGAAGCACTGGATCTAATATTTATCAAACTGGGTGAGAGAATCATTCAGTAAAAAGGCTCATGGGGTCTGAGATCGTGGTGTGTTTACGTACCGACATCCCATGAAGACGTTGTTGGCCCACACCATGGACAGAGACAGCAGATGGTCCAGCTGCTCCTCCTTAAAATCGTCCATGTTCCTCAGGATAAACTCCCTCCGGGCCTCCCAGTGTTTTTCGCTCTCCCAGTAACCCCGGTACGTCTCTACCTGCTTGGCCAGAACACGGTTCTGTTGAATAAAATCCTCCACGTCCGGAGCAGACATTTTTTTTTTTCTTGGACCTGAAGGGGAACGCAACTTCCTGTGCGAAAGGAGGGTTTCCCCCAGCAGCGCCACCCTCTGGTGGAGGTGTGACATAGCAGCTCAGGTAAACTACAATGAACTGAGACCTAAAAACACAGACATAGGCTACATAGTATAAGAGCAGTGACGTGCGGTCAGGGGAGGCAGGTGAGGCAGTGCCTCACCAGCCATCATGGAAAGAAAGAAAATATATAATCATAAAGTAATTTAAATTGTTATATTCATCCGGTGGTTTGTACTAAAAAATATTCATTTTTCATGTAGCTTCACCAATTTCGATTCTTATTTGTTCAAAATCGCTGAATTTTCTTATTTTCCCATTCAAATGCTTGGAAGCGATGCCGGTGAGGCAGCAGCGAGCTCTGCCTCACCTTGGATTGCGCAACCCCTGGCTCTGCGCTGGCTGCAAAGCGGAGAGAGCATGTTGCTGTACGGCGTCAATAAAATGGTTTAAACAAATGTAATATGTGAACTTATTTCTAATAATTTGGCTTATGTATATAATGTACAGAGCTTTTTGTCACCAACTGTGTTTGTGTAACGTGTTTCGTGTAATGAGCGATTATAAACGGCAGAGAACAAGTTCGAGGTGAGGCAGGCAGTTCTCTTGCCTCATGGCAGGGGGTGCTCAAGAGACTGAAAACATAAGGCAGGAACAGGACGGATCAAGGAAGGCTTTCTTCCCTGGCAGTGATCTCCATTGAGACAGAGAGACTTTTAAAACTGAAGGAAGATAAGGAGGACTTCTATTCATTTATAAGTAAAGGTAAGACAGTAATAACATTTATTTTGTTTTGTTTTTTAAGGAAATGTGTGTTTTGTGAGCTACAGTTTGTATGTGTAAGGATGCAGAAGTGAAACATAACCTGTAAACTGCTGTCAATCTATGCATCTATTTGCAAATCTGATTCTGATGACGTCAGTGCCTCACCAGCTATGAACCTCACCGCACGTCACTGTATAAGAGTATAATAAAATAAAAATAAAAAATCCCTTTATTGTCCCAAAATTGATAAATTGTGGTATTACAGCAGCAACAGATTACAGCAAAAGTGGGCACACAACTTTGGACCTTAAAAAAGTGCATAACAATAACAGAAAAGTATATATACACTATATTGCCAAAAGTATTTGCTCACCTGCCTTGACTCACATATGAGCTTAAGTGACATCCCGTTCCTAATCCATAGGGTTCAATATGACGTCGGTCCACCCTTTGCAGCTAGAACAGCTTCAACTCTTCTGGGAAGGCTGTCCACAAGGTTTAGGAGTGTGTTTATGGGAATTTTTGACCATTCTTCCAGAAGCGCATTTGTGAGGTCGCACACTGATGTTGGACGAGAAGGCCTGGCTCTCAGTCTCCGCTCTAATTCATCCCAAAGGTGTTCTATCGGGTTGAGGTCAGGACTCTGTGCAGGCCAGTCAAGTTCATCCACACCAGACTCTGTCATCCATGTCTTTATGGACCTTGCTTTGTGCACTGGTGCACAGTCATGTTGGAAGAGGAAGGGGCCAGCTCCAAACTGTTCCCACAAAGTTGGGAGCATGGAATTGTCCAAAATGTCTTGGTATGCTGAAGCATTCAGAGTTCCTTTCACTGGAACTAAGGGGCCAAGCCCAGCTCCTGAAAAACAACCCCACACCATAATCCCCCCTCCAACAAACTTTACACTTGGCACAATGCAGTCAGACAAGTACCGTTCTCCTGGCAACCGCCAAACCCAGACCCGTCCATCAGATTGCCAGATGGAGAAGCGCGATTCGTCACTCCAGAGAACGCGTCTCCACTGCTCTAGAGTCCAGTGGCGGCGTGCTTTACACCACCGCATCCGACGCTTTGCATTGCACTTGGTGATGTATGGCTTGGATGCAGCTGCTCGACCATGGAAACCCATTCCATGAAGCTCTCTGCGCACTGTTCTTGAGCTAATCTGAAGGCCACATGAAGTTTGGAGGTCTGTAGTGATTGACTCTGCAGAAAGTTGGCGACCTCTTCGCACTATGCGCGTCAGCATCCGCTGACCCCGCTCCGTCAGTTTACGTGGCCTACCACTTCGTGGCTGAGTTGCTGTCGTTCCCAAACACTTCCATTTTCTTATAATACAGCTGACAGTTGACTGTGGAATATTTAGGAGCGAGGAAATTTCACGACTGGATTTGTTGCACAGGTGGCATCCTATCACAGTTCCACGCTGGAATTCACTGAGCTCCTGAGAGCGACCCATTCTTTCACAAATGTTTGTAAAAACAGTCTGCATGCCTAGGTGCTTGAATTTATACACCTGTGGCCATGGAAGTGATTGGAACACCTGATTCCAATAATTTGGATGGGTGAGCAAATACTTTTGGCAATATAGTGTATATATATATATATATATATATATATATATCAGACATGGGCAATGTGGAGTCAACAAGTCATCTCCATGTCATGTATTTAATCTACCCAGCCAATTAACCAGATGAGTCCAATCTGCACAGGTTAATTCACGGTGAAGATTGGACTCACCTGCTTCAGTGGCTGGGTAGAACAAATACATGACATGGAGATGACTTGTTGACTTCACATTGCCCATGTCTAATACATATATATTTACATATAATGAATAATATTAATATTATTTAATATATAATACATATTATAATACAGCTATACCACTTACTGATCACTTGCTCTAATGAATGAACTGATATGCCTTCTCCCTTAGATATATTGGTTTAAGGATTAAGAATTGGAGGCAAGGATTGAAAGGAGGAGGAGTCAGCCTAAATGTATGAAATACTTTTAACTTATCTGGATGGTTACAGTCTGTCTTTAAGAACAACCTCTCAGGCTATGTTGCTTTTGAAAAGTAAAACATTTTCTGTAAATCATCTTTTATAGGTGTCATATTAGTATGTGGCTTCTAGAAACAATAAGGCACAGAGATGGAAGGCTAATGTCGATTTGCAATCAATTTAAGAAAAGGTTTCTTTTTTTTTTCTTACAAAAACTTTTTGCATGCTTGGGTGTGCAGGACCGGAAAGAACCAGATTCAGATGTTAAAAAATGTCAAACAAACTTATTGATACACATGAATTACCACAAATATTAACTGGTCAATTCCCTAATTCACAGGAGTTAATGCTAATAACAACTCCAGGAAGTCCCAAGTATTTTTTTTTTTTTTCCCGTTTTGATTGAGTCCAGAAAATACAAAATTATCATTAAGAACATTCACACCCATATTGTGTTCCTCTGAAATTATCTCTGAAAAAACTAACAGCAGGCACTTCTTCATGCAGCATGTTTTGGGCTTCATCCAAGTTATACAAGCCACTGCTTTATTGAGTGAACCAGCCCATTAGGTTTGCAGACCCCCATGTCTCACCCTGAAATATACACTGATGCTGAAATAATACACTGTTTTCCAGTCAGCACTGGCACACAGCACTTCTTGATGAGTCACCTATTGGACGCTTACTCAGGAGGTACCAGGGTAACAGGTCGAGTACAGTAGAAGTGTCAGCGGGAAGGGATGAATGTGGTCTTGATGTGTGTGGAAGAGGCTGAGGAAAACACTTGAAAATATAAAACAGGGCTGACCTTTTGAAAAATTAAGTTCTGTTGAGCAAATATTAAGAGGATGTATTAGGATGGTCCGCTTTTCTCCTGGGCATATTAGGTCTCTGAGTTTTATCTAGGGGTTTGTTACTAAATAAAATATCCTCTCTGTCAAATAGCGGTAAAGGGTAAAACTGAAAAAGGTTCAACAAAACGATAAGATTAAATAACATCAAATTCAATCTGGAAGAAGTGAACTAAAAAATATGATGGGCAGATGCTTTTGGGAAAACCCAGTAACATCCCTGAGCATCACAAAATTGAACCTCTGTGTGACTTTACTTGTTATGTAAACACCTTTGGGAACTCCAAACCTAACAATAATGTTTAATAACCCCAAATCATTTTGGCTGCAGTTTTATGATAATACTTATATGAGCAGATTATTGACTAGGCAAAGGAAAATCCTGCATGCAAGCTGTGAAACTGGAGAAGGCATTCGACCCTGCCTCTTTCGGAACCCTCTTGGGGGTGCTCAAGGAGTCAGTGGCCCTTTACTAGGTACCATCCAGTCACTGAACAAGCAGCCAGGAGTTTGGTTTGCATTGTTGGCTTGGAAGTTAAACCTGTTCCTGAAGCATCTTGGACTCTGAAATTTAAATGGTTTTATCTAATCTTCTAAACCACATGTTAGATGGACCCTCAACAGAAAACAGAACTGGAAGAAATGGTATTTATTGTACAGATGATAATATGAATATACAGGTGATCAGTGGTTTCAAAAGTACACATATATATGTTACTTAAGTAGAAGTATAGATACTGCAGTTTAAAAACACTCTGGTAAAAGTTGAAGTATCAACTTGACTTCTTAGCTCATGTAAAAGTGATAAAGTATGTGCTTCAAAAACTAATGAAAATATAAAAGATGCCACTATATGAATTGAAAGCTCCCTTTTTCGAAAAAATCCTTTGATAGATAGGGCCAAGGATGAGGGAGGTCTTGTTGGTCTCCATCTCCGTCTCCCGATACGCTCTCGCCTGTGTCCAACCTTTCAGACATTTCAACATCTTTCCCTGAATCTAACATTGTAGCATGGCATAGACAATTCACGTTTGCAGTTTGAAGAACACCTGCTTGCTTCTAATGATTTCCTTTAGCTAACCAATGAGTGTTTGCGTTATATGACTCATCCAATTACACTAGTTTTCACTAGATGTGGATAGCGCCAATGATCTGCATTGGATGGCGCACATGACGTGAAATAAATATTTATAAACATTAAACCGAAGCAAAGAGTAACGAGTAACATTTGTTTTAAAAATGTAAGGAATAGAAAGTACAGATACTGAAAATGTAATGAGTAGAAGTCAGAAGCAGGAAGAAAAATAAGTAATGGAGTAAAGTATAGATACCTAAAAAGTGTACTTAAGTACAGCAACGAAGTATTTGTACTTCG